CATTACATTTGGCATGCTTTGCTAACTTAGCCTCATATTGCATACTTGAGCCATTTTACATATTTGAGCCAGGCCGTGGCATGAAGCCACCGGCCTTGCTTTCTGTCTACCGACCAATTGTTTGGTCGGTCGGCACAGATATTTGGTCAGTCGGCCATTTATTTGGCCGATTGTCTCTTTTTCTGGCCGGTGCCTCCTTTTTACCTTTTTCAGGCATTGTGCATGCCAACTATGCCAGCTGGAGTGCACGTACTTGTCCTCAATACATGTGTATGGAGGACTTGCACCCTTAGCACCCTTTTGCTCTAAGCTTCTTGAAGAAGCTTAGACCCTTTGTCTTAGCTTCCTCCAGAAGGTTGAACCCTTTGTCTTAGCTTCCCCAATAAGCTTGGACCTTTCGTCTAGCTTCTTGAGGAAGCTTGACCCCTTTGCTTTAACTTCTCTAAGAAGCTTTGGCCCTTGTCTGTTCTATAAAAGAGAGCCTCCCTTCTCCTTTGGAGAGGTTCAGCAAATCAGAGATATCTATGTCATATATATCACTCTCTCTCTATATCTCCCTCTCTCTCTACATTTGTGTGGGTTAGAGTGTTCAAAAGTGAGTTTTGTTCTTAGTTTTGCACTAAGACACCTAGTATTACACCATACTTGGGTTATTAAGGTGTTGAGAGGTTGTTTTTGGAGTTTTGAGCTGTTTTGATCAAAGAAGGGGGCAGGAGTTGCTGTTCTTGAAGTGTTCTTCAAGGGTGAGCAATATTGCTTTATATTCCCCATTCTTGCACTAGCTTTTAACCTATCTTGCATGTTATTTTGAGCTTTATGTATAATTGATAAAAGTTCTGATTTTTCATGTTTAAGATGTTTCATTAAGGTCACTTTTGTGTTTGGGGTTGTCCTCCCCCTCTTAGGCCTTGTTTGGCCCCTTTTTGTGCCTTCTTTGTTGAGCTTTGGGAACTTTCATGTATTGGCCTTCTCACCACTGAAATCCAGAGGATTTTTAGTGGTGGTGAAGGGGTTTTGAGGTCTTGCATAGGGGAGGGACACCCCTCTCCCCTTATGTCTCATATGCTTGTGTTTTTGGCTCATAAAGGTAGCATGCATGCTTAGTTGGTTTTAGCTCCATCTCAGAGGCTTTTGGGTGTTATTTGGTCATATTATACCTCTATTTTTAGTCGGATTGATAGTCCATTGCATGTGTCATACACTTGCTTTGTAATCTCCTTTATTGTCATAACATGCGTCATGCATTTGGACCACCGTGCTCACATGTTTTGGCTTAGCTTTGTGAAGTTTTTAGTCATGTTTTACCATGCTTAAGGTCTGACTTTGGTTGTCTTAGCCATGTTTGCCATGCTTTGTGTAGCATCTTTGCATTCTAGCTTGTAGGCTTTGAGTGTGTGAGTCATGAGCATGCTTTGCTTGAGCCATTTCAGTGATTTGGAATCAGTTATCAT